CCCCGGCCGGCCCGGCACCCACGCGCGGGCCTCCGCAGGACTCCCCCTGCCCACCAGCCCCTTCTCCCGGCGCCCCACGCAAGGCCGGGGGCGGGTGCACGGCCCTACATTCCCACAATCCCCAGGTCGCTCCCCCACTTTGCTTTTAGCCTCCCCTCCCTCCCTTCGGGAGCCCTGGAGGCGACCCCTGCACCACCCAAGCCCCTCCAACCTGGGGAACGGAGCTCACAGACACCGGGAAGCATCCACCACCTGCCCCCTTGGTCCCAATATGGGCTCAGATGCCTGGCTTCTGCCACCGGGCACCACCCAACATTTGACCTTGGCGCATTACCTCCCCTCCCGGTTTCCCCCTCTGTGGCCCAAGGGGCCTGGAGTAGGAGTGTTCCAGGGTTCCATCCAGCTCTAAGATTCTGTAGCTCAGTTTCCACATCTCTCCCCTCCTCCACTCCCTGGGGTCACATCTCCTTTTCCAAGGGCAAATGTCTTTGGAAGGAACTGCTGGAACCCAATTTGATCCTCTGGTGTCTGGCTGAAACTGGGCACTAGCACAAGGCTACATCCATTACAGCCCCCCAATAATATGTGTTGAAGCCATAGTGAAGCCAGGTCCCTGAATCCTTGGACAAAGGGAAGAGGATGTGGTGGCAGAACCCAGGAGGGAGCTCATGGGCAGGCGGAGGTGAGCCAGCCAGCAGAGAGGGGTGTGGGGGACAGACAGGGTGCTGGACATGATGGTGCTCTGCGTGGGAAGGAGGTTTAACCCTGTGACCTTGGACATGTAATATACCCTCTCCCACCCCTGCCTGCCCTCATCTGGCTCTCAGCTCAACCCCAAAGAAGATTTTCTACATTCAAAGCCACACAAGGGGAGAGGGAAGGGCAGCTGGGGTCTGTGAACACTGACTGGCTTTGCAGCGCACGAGACTGTCTCCATACTGGTATCAGCCTTCCCGCAACAGAGACACAGAGAGGCTTATTACCTGGCCACGGTCACAGCTGGGAGGCAGGCTGCCCATCCAGCATCAGGGGTGTGTACAAGGTGACTGTCAGAGCCACAGCCATTTAACTGCCCCCCCACACCCCCACTCCCTCACCCCCAGCCACTTACACGGAAAGAAATGTGCTTGGCCTCCCCATCCCGCAGGGCGTTGAGAGAACAAAACAAGACAAGACGCCAGGGAGAGTCAGCTGTGTGTAAGTGGAACCTGTGAACTGTGTTCCAGAACTCGGGGTTTGAGACCCATCTGTGATGGATCGAATTGTGTCCCCACCAAATGTATATGTCGAAGTTCTGTTCCCGTGACCTTATATGGAGATGTCATAGTTACAGACGTTCAAGTGAGGTCATACTGGGGTAGGATGTGCTCCTTTTCCAATATGACTGGTGGGGTCATAAAAAGGAGAAATGTGGACACAGATGCACACTCAGGAAGGACCCCATGGGAAGATGGAGTCAGCATGCCACAAGCCAAGGAACTGCCAGAAGCTGGGAGAGAGGCCTGGAACACATCCTTCTCTGGCATTTTTGGAGGGAACACAGCCCTGCTGACACCTTGATCTCAGACTTCCAGCCTCCAGAACTGTGAGATAATGAATCTTTGTTGTTTAAGCCCCTTAGTTTGTGGTACTTTGTTACAACAGCCCTAGCCTTTACACTCCAAGCCAGGGGACTTGGTCCCAAGTCTCTACCTTAAGGATTGTTTACACAGGGCCCTCACCTCCTGAGAGATACTCAAGAGCCTTGGAGCCTTTCCCAGTCAGGAACATTGCAGAGGACTCTCCCCAGTCTACCTCTGACACCTTGGTCCTGCTCATGGCCCCGGTCCCCGGCTTCCAGGCTACAAACTTGGACAGCAGCTACTTGAATACTAAGACAGCCTGAGGAGGGTCCTGCCAACCTGGGACCCCCAGTGTACTGGGCCCTGAACGTTGCCCTAAAAGCGCCACATGACTCATGCCTCTGAGGCCCCTGCCTTCCCCCAGGGAGCCTGCTGAGCACAGGCCCTCACCTTCCTGGACGCCTCAGGCTCCCACCCTCTTCCCAGCTCGGGACTCCCCCACCCAACCCGGAGTCAGCAGCTTTGGTCTCCAGCCTCAGAAGTCCCTGCCCTTATCCCGCAGTCGTTGGGATGATGGGGTGATAGCCCTCAAAGAATCTTTAGATTCTCATGTTCATCTCTCCTTCCAGGGTGGAGCTGGAGGAGATGCTGACGGCCACCAGTTGATTCATGCCAACTCATCCCATTGTTAGACATCAGTGAGTGCTTCCATCATGCCCACTCAGATGTCCCTGCCTCCTGGAGGCCTTTCCAGCTGTGTTCTCCAGCACCTGTAATCCTCAGTCCCCAGCACAGTGTTCCTGATGGAGTCTTTATTCCTGTGACAAAAGGGTTTCTTCCATACACAAAGGATGGCCACTGTGTGTGAGAGACAAAGGGGATGGGAAAGGCGACAACAAAGGTAGCAGCTCAGAGGACCCCGCTCGCACCCTCCTCCTCGGCCCGGGCTGACTTGAATGTCCCCACCCTGCATGCCGAGGCCTGGAACGCTCGTCTGACACATGCAGCACTGCCGAGGTCCGTCCTGGATGTCCAAGAGCCCAGGAGCCATCCCACCACACCACCCGGATGTGGAGACACAAGCACAGCGACCTCTGGGGTCCTCATGGGCCAGGAGCCCTCTGCTGTGGGTTCCTCTCCTAGCCCTTCCCTGCAATCACCATCTTGAGATCAAGCATGTTGGGAATGAGACCAACGTAGAGGATATTCGTCCTCTGTGGCCACCCAAACCTCTGCAAACCCCCTATCCTTTGGTCATGTCCCAGATCTCTCCAAGGACTCCCTTGCAGTTAGTTAGAGCACAGATGCCGCTTGGGTTCCACCCAGCAGACTCGCCTGCACAAGACCTGAAATCGGGAGTGAGCGCTGTGCTCCTGTGCGAGCCCAGGAGCGGGGGTTGTGCGGGTCCTCTGAGGGCAGCTGTGGTGTTTGCACTAGAGAAGCTCCACGGACATGGCTGGTCATTACTCCTACCTAGCTCTCTCTTCCTCCTCAAAACACCGCCCACTATTCATTAGTTCCTTGAATAAATTCCTTTCCAGCTTAGAGTGGCTGTTGTCTGCAGCTCAGCCTTCTGACGGAATCGGAAATGGCTCTGAGTCCAGGGCACAGGCTGAGCCGGCACCAGGCATGAGTGGTACCGATACCAGGGAGCTGGTAACAAGCACATGAGAGAATGGCCATCTTTTTTTTTTTTTTAAGATTTTATTTATTTATTTGAGAGAGAGAGCACGCAAGAGAGCACACACGGGGGGGGGGGGTAAGGGACAGGGAGAGAGAGAAGCCGACTCCCGCTGAGCAGGGAGCCAGATGCAGGACTCGATCCCAGGACCCTGGCATCACGACCTGAGCCGAAGGCAGACACTTAACCCACTGAGCCACCCAGGTGCCGGGAGAATGGCCATCTTATTAGCAGGCCTGGGCAGTCCCTGCCTCTCTTATTACTATGTCACTCCTCACCAACTCCATTCCTTAATCTTTTCTTTTTTTTAAGTTTATTTGAGGTGCCTGGCTGGCTCTTTCAGAAGAGCATGCAACTCGATCTCTGGGGATCCTGAGTTCGAGCCCCACCCATGTTGGGTGCAGAGATTACTTAAATAAATAAACTTAAAAAAAAAAAAAAAACAGCCCCTGCATTCCTTAATCTTAATGCCAACACAATGGTAACTTCATTACTTTAAATGTAGGTAGTGCTATCCAGGTTACAAACCACTTTGATATTCATAATCTCATTAGTTTACAACAACCCTCTGAGGTAGAGTGTCTTAATCCCATTTGACATGCGCGAGAGAAAAAAAAGGCTCAGAAAGTTGAAGTGGTTTGCCCCTGGTCCGAGGCTCTGTAGGCAGCATGGCCAAGAATTGTACCCAGGGGTGCGGTGCCTGGTTGGCTCAGTCAGTGGAGCATACATCTCTTGATCTTGGGGTTATAAGTGTGAGCCCCATGTTGGATGTAGAAATTACTTAAAATTTTTAAAAAAAAATTTTTTTTAATTAAACCCAGGGGTTTCTGGTTTCATGTGTAATATTTATCCCCAAATATTACAGTGCCCCCCAGTCCCCAACACCATGTCCATGTCCTGGTACCTTTTCCTGCAACTATTGAACTTTCCTTGCCATGAGCACAAACTGAAATATACTGCTAACTTTCCAGGTGAATTTTTTAAGGAGATTGCATCTTTGCTACTAGAGGCTTTACAGGGGAGTGGTTAAGACGTCTGGAGCCAAGTCACCTGAGTTCATAGCCCAGATCCACATGACCTTGAGCAAATTATTTACCCTCTCTGGGTCTCAGATTCCCCATCTGTAAAATGAAATAATAATGGGGTTGTTTAAAGAATGAAATGAGTTCATCCATGTAAAGCGCTTAAAACAG